TGATGTCGGCGCTGTCGGCAATGCAGGACAAGAACTCGCATCTGGAGAAGAGCTTAAGCGCGGAGACGAGACTTAAATTGGATTTATTCTCAGCTCTCGATGAGACCAAACGCCAGTTGGAGATGACTCGAAGTAAGTGTTTGTGTGACCACTGATGGCATGACTCGTGGATCTGATGTATTGATTGATTTGTCAGTGATTTTACTGCAACGCGAGAAAGAGATCGACGAACTCAAGTCGAAGATCGCCGAAGTGATGGCCGTAATGCCGTCGACACCGAACGGCAGTTACGGGAGTCTGTCGGCCGAGCAGTCGATTGTCAATAGTTTGCTGCCTGTGTTCGGTCACAACAGCTGCCATAACAGCCATAACAGCCATAACCACAACAATCATCACCAAAAATACATGCAATCGATGGTGTCCTCTAATGATGACCACATGATGTCGAATGTGTCGCCATTAGACCCGAACGCCTCGATCTATACGCCCAAAGTGGGCGGCGCCGGCAATTCCGGTTCACCCGATCTCTAAGATCTATATATATATATATTTTTGTGGACACGACTACTCTCTCGACTTGTGGGCCGACTCGCGCGTATGACTTCACCGCTAAATATAGTCCGACCATTGGTTCTCTTCAATTGATTATTCAATTTAATGGATAAGACATTTGTGTTGATGTTTGTTCTCATGAGATGTAAATCTAAACCGTAAACAAATTTATTTATAATTATTTTTTCTTTTTCACGCCTCCTTTCGTGTCCACCGAAATGTTTTGCCTTTTTGTCGTCAATATTTCCCCCAAAATATCAATTCAAATCATTGACTGAAACAAAATCTATTTGACAAACCATTAAAACAATTATTTATGAGTTTTTGTGAATAAAAATCAAACTTTTTGTTCGCCTTTTTTGAGTTTTTCATTGTTATTTGTTTTATTTTGATTTGATTTTGTTTTTGTTTTAAGTTTGCATTTGATTACCCGATGTTTGGATTGACATCACTTGTAGTTATGTTATTTGTACCGATTGATTGGATTTTGATTTTGTGTTTGATTCCTATCGTAAAATCTTTGGTATACTGTATAGACCCTGAGCATTTTGAGTAATGATTTGTTTGAAAGGTTTGATTATTACAGCGAATGTTTTGTTGAAAGTATTTTCGGTTTTATTTTCTCATGTGATTTGACGCACAAATAGCTGTCATATGAAGTCACGAGTGAGTGGTCCGCATCGGTATCCGAGAGTACATGTCCCGCGAAATGAACAAAAAAACGGCCAAACATTTGGTCGACACACTCGAGGAACAAATTAACCCATAATTTGATATTTATATTTAATAAGTACTTAATTACCGTATAATTACTTAAATACCTGTTTTTAATTCAATTAACGCATATCTGGTTTAAGTGTTTTTATGAANAGTACTTAATTACCGTATAATTACTTAAATACCTGTTTTTAATTCAATTAACGCATATCTGGTTTAAGTGTTTTTATGAAACTCCAACAAAACATACAAATCCCGCGAAACATACAAATAATTAAGTGTCGATTGTATTGATACCTAAACAGTACAGTGAATACAAGAGATACCACTTTCCGTACCGCGAAATACCATACCATTCATTGGGCGACTAAACAGTCTTTCAAATTGAATATATCTTTATATTAAGCGACGATTTTATTATCAAATAAAACAGTCATTATCTGTCTCTCCATTTATATATGAATGTAATGTAATTATAATTATTATATAAGAAAACAAATTAACATAAACTTATAAACAC